TAATGATGACAAGGATAATGTGCGAGCAGTCAGATGCGAGCTGTGAAATAAAAATAAATGTGCTAAATGGATAATAAAATACAAAGGGAGACAGTCATAATGGCCACTCAGACACTCGACAACCGCACGAATAAAATTGCACACACTGGCAAAAAAACAAAAAAAAAAGAAAAAGCAAAACAGAAATAACAAGCGCTGCTTATTGTCCTCCGCGCTTAAAAAACAGCGGCATTTAACTGGCGTGGCCATTGTACTTAATTGAACTGTCAGCCAAAATAGATAAACATAATAGTCCACTGTGCAACTGTCAAGCATTAAATGGACACTCACTGGATTTTATCGAATGTGACATTTTGGCCAGCTACGACAGTTGGCCGGAAATCTCGCACTTCGTGCGGCTACAGTGAATCTGGCAGGATTAATATTGCTGCTTTCTGAATTTATGTATATACATATATATATAAATGTATTTATAATGCTATGCAATATATATGCATATACAAGTCCGCTTTGACTTCGACTTTTTGTGTATAAGTAAAATGATAAAAATAATAAAGTTGATTAATAATGTTATATATATTTCAAGTTTATTATTATTATTTAAGCTAAAATTAAGCAATAAAAGAACTTATAGTGCTCTTGTTCAGACTACTTTACTTTGATAATCCTGAGCCCAGTGAAGAGCTGATATTTCCATTATTTTACGATTGCATGTAGACACTGTCCACTGGACAAAAATACAGGCTAAATCCACAACGCTTTACGTCAGAGAGATAGACGGATAAACGATCAGCTCAGCTTATAGATCTTATATGATCTGCTATGCCTACCTTTTCCCATTGTATGCAAATTCTAACAAATTTTATAAGAAATCAAATATTTGTTTTTAAATTTTGAATAAAAATATATGTAACAATGTGAAAGAGATAAAAAGAGGTTTAACAAAATAGTATAAGGGAAAAATTCAATATAGTCGTAGAAATGTAGTAGAATAGTATTCTAGAAACATATAGTAGTAGAAATGTAGTAGAATAGTATTCTATAAATATATAGTAGTAGACTATTATTCTAGAAATATATAGTAGTAGAAATGTAGAAGAAATGTAGCAGAATAGTATTATAGTTGACTTAGAAAAATATAGTAGTAGAAATATAGCAGAATAGTATTACAGTTGACTTAGCAAAAGTAAAATTTGTTAGCTTGCACATTAAGATTTTCATGACAGACGAAATAGTCGAGTAAATATACAATTGATTTTTTTTTAAATATTGTAATTGAAAAGGAAACTATTCAAGCTTTGCATATAAGAAACTCCCTTTGATTAGATATAATATTCAATAAGATAAGCGAAGTGTAATACAAGGCATTAGCTTTGGGGGCTTTGGGCGCCCAATAGGACTCGCTTATAAAGCAGACACATATATATTTAAATATATATATATATATATATATACTGGCTGCCAAAACAATAGCCAACTTTGCGCTAAGCTGCTGCACTTCATGCCCAAAAAGGCTGCAATTAAAATAAGTACCTCGCCGCTTGGCTGCCAGCTGAGTGAGCTGTGGGTGGACTGCGGAGATTTAAATGTGTGTGTGTATGTATGTGTATGCGCGAAAAGCAACAGCCAAAAAAGTAACAAAAAGACCAAACACAACAACCACACACACACACACAGACAGAGATATGTGTATATGGTATATAAGCACATTGTGTTCGCAAGCTAATTAAGAAATTACTGCAGGCTAAACAGCAAAAGCCCGGACCCCGCCCAGGCGGCACCGCCATTACCAAAAAGCCATTCAATATAAATATGTATATGTGTGTGAGTACGAAAAATGATATTAACAAAAATAAAAGCAGAAGAAGAAGAAGCAGAAGCAGAGGCAAAGCCAAGTCGAAGCAGCAGTTCGCTTTGTAACGAAAAAATCTAACGAGAATCGAAATAAATAATAAACCAAATTTTATTTAAATAAGAGAACGTCGTAAAAATGTATTACATTTTATAAAATTCACACTTTACATTTAAAATAATGGATTAACATTTATAAAACAAATATGTTTTACGATTGTTGAAAGCTAAGAGCCATATATCATTTAAAAATCTCTTTTGCAAAACCCATATGCCTTGCAAAGGGAATGTCGCCCTACAAAAAATCTGCCATAATCCAACAAGCAGACACACACGGCCGCCCGCTCAGACAATTCACTTTACATATGAGCAATGTTAACCAAAGCAACAAAAAACCAAAAAACAAAAGTTGTGAAAAGAGTGGAAAAAAGCCAAAACTGAAATTATGAAAGCAGCCAAAAAGCAAGCATTCAAATTATTCTCCCCTCTCTTCCCAACCGGGCTGGGCGGGCAATTTTCATAATTTCTCTACAATTTTCAGCCATTTTATGAAATGAATTGAAAATCTGGCTGTTTTATTTTTGGGCGCACAGAATGGAAAAAGGGAGAAACAAGAATTTAAAAGAGGAAATAAGAAAAAGAAAAACCATCAAATCTATTCATGCGCTTAAATAAAATGCTCAAGCACTTGACTGCATCCATACAAAAAAAAAAAAAAAAAGAAAAACTGTTGAGCAGAGACGAAAGTAAATAAAATAAAATGAAAAAATATTAAACAAAATAAAAATGTTTGCCAAGCAAGGTAAAAGCGGTCCACGTAAAAGGTAGTCTAATTTGCTCAGAAGGCTTCTAGATAGACCAAGCGAGCCATTGTTGACGTTTGCCTGGATTCAAATTCGAGCGAACTGGATTGCCTTATGGCTGGCGAATCCATTGCTTAAGCAGATTATTGGCTAACAATTTCAACAATTTAAGCCGATAAGCAGAATTAAAACGAAATGAGTTTCAATTGTTGAATAAAATATACATATATGTGCGTATTACAATGAAATTGATTTAATTACTTAGAGCGTGTGTGAAATGCAACGCCTCAAATAATTGATCAATAAACGGAATGCGACACGCACACATACAACATACAATATACATACATATGCAAGCACACACACACACACAGTCACTCACACACTTGCACACGTACAAGTACCATTTGTATCTTTCTGGTTATTTGAACTTGCAATCGTTTGTTGCGCATAACCGAAAGCATTTTATGCATTTTTATTGCTATTTATTCGTAGCGCACAATTTGCAATTTATTTTTGCAATTTAACACGCCGCGCCGCAGCCAGAGGGCGTTAAAATAAAAAACAACAACAACAACAACAGCAGCAGTAGCAAAAGCATTCGACGCGCTCAGTGCGAGTTAACAACAACGGCAACAGCAGCAACGACAACAACAGCAACAACAACAACAGCAATAGCAAACGGCAACATAAGTGCACAATAAATTGTTAAAACGTCCAACAACAACAACAACTGCTGCATCAATTGTTGCACAGATACACCAGAGCAGATACAATTACATGCACATTTATATACCCACTATTAACACAAGTTGTGCAGAGCTTTGCATTTGCAATTAAACGTTTCAGATTCCTCCAGACTCCCACCCTACCCATAAATGGGGGCGCCGTCTGCCATCAACCTAGAATCATTTTACCAAAGCCCATTACAGCTAGTGAGGATGCTACTGCCGTCGAACATCAACAACAAATTACAAATGCCTTCTATTCCCGATTGGAAATATACATACATATATATAAAAATATATATGTATATATACATACATATTTTGTTATTCATTTGAAATAATAGCTCAATATTGAGCTCATACCCAGATTCCTAATTCTAACTATAGAACCCATTAGGGTATGCAACATCTTTTGATTTAATACAGCTTAATACCCTGTAATTTCATGAAAAACCTGAACGAGTATACATTATGCTTTGTCTAAAAGATGCACGATTTACAGCGGAAAAGTTATTTGAATATATCATTTTTAATACTAGTTAATATATATCAATATATACATATATGTAATATGTAATTGAATAAAGTAAAGATAACGTGCAAAAATGAGTGTGTGACATGCATCACACATAAATATTCCTGCAATATATTTTATATATATTATGATTTTTTTTTTAATATGTTAATTTTTTTTTTACAATTTTTTTTTATGTTTGTTTCATATCAATATCACCAATCTATTAATTTATAATTTTTTTATTATTCATATCTTAGTATATTATTTAATTCAGATTTATTGAAGTAGAACTCTATTCGATGAAAACTCTGACGGACTTCAATGACTGAGCTTCGTTTGCCATAGATTCCTAACTTTCCATATTATGGGACACAGGCTGCATGCTCTGCTATATATAATACATATAGAACTATAAGACAGAGTCGAATATAAAAAACAATTAAACAATTTTATGTAAATTGCTAGGGATTCCCAAGAGACTGACTAATGATTCTATACAGACCTGATGCGATTATTCTTTAACAAAATGCGAACCAGCTGAGATGACCATATTTTCAAATCAATCTGATCCTAAGTCGCATATTAAATTCAAGCTGCTTCAGCTTCTTAAGTACCATAATAAATAAAAAAAAAATAATCAAAAGTTTTTTGTTTATATTATATTATTATTTTTTATTGATTTTTAATTATTTTGTTTTTTTTTTCTCATATATATAAGCATTTTTTATGAATTTAATGTTTTTTTTTTCTTATTTTAAATGTAAGTTGCGCTGTTTTTTATTTTTTATTTTTTAGTAAATTGATGTAATAATTTTACTAGTTATTTGGTAATTGCTTGATATAATACATACAAATGTGCACATGCTGACTTTTTTCTTGACTTTATTTTCATCATAGCTTTGGCTTATACAGCGCTCAATTCAATATATGTATATAAACTTTTTTCTTTTTTCATTTTATTTATAACTTTAATTTTAATTAGCCTGCTTATGGAAACCAACTGATAATTATTGTTAAGTTAAGTTTATAATTTAATGTGGGCTTAACTTGGATCTGACCAGCGATCAAAGTTTGAGTAAAATAATACGTTATTACGTTAGATAAGTGGAAAACACATATTTATATATTTATTTGTAATACCTATTTACACTCTAAAGTACAAGCAAATAAAGCGATAAACGGAAGCGATACATTTACAAAATGAGACTTAAAATCTACTGAGCAATAGGCATTTAGTTTTATACAATGAGAGAGCAGCGGGGCAGCAGAGTGAGAGAGAGATAGAGAGAGGAGCTTAGCTTGAGATGTTCACGTCCGTGGGTCTCTTGAGTTGGTTATGCGAACTTCTACATAAGTAGTATGTGTATATACAAAAGCTTTAGGAACAAACTATTCAGAAACTTTACAGCTTTATAACGATTATGTGGAAGAGGCGCGGCGAGCCGTCCTCAATTTTTGGCCTTTGTGGTTAGCATTGAAACCAATTGATGTGCACTTAGCCGCTGATCCTTTTGTCAAAGTTTTCAATAGAATTTTACAATGCCACTGGGAGCGGACTGTGGGCGGTGCGGTGCGGTGTGGTGCCGTGCCAGCTGTTCAGTAGGAGTGCGCCTTGCTGATTATCGATTTCTCCTCGACAGCAGAAGGCATAGACGAATCGGGGCCACCAGCCTCGTTCCGTTCAAAACAATTATTGTTCTTTGTGTGCAGCTCGAAAGTGCTGGAAGACGGCGGAGGCGCAGCTGATGGCGTTGATCGAACGTAGTCATTGGATGACTGCGACTGTGGCTGCGGCTGCGACTGTGGCTGATCTGCGATGGGCTCCTCGTCGGCCTCGACATCGATGGCCGCGTCGTCCTCGTCCATGCCTGTGAGGTGCTCCTGCTCGCCGTCAGAGTCCGCATCCACGGAGCAGCGTCTCAGCTGCATCGCAGGTATTCGCAGCGGCATCGGCGACATCGCCGTGGGCGGTGGCGGCTTCAGCAGCGTCATGGGCCCCGCCAGGCAGCCCACGTTCTATACAAGCGACGACAGGGGCGGCCGCGGTGGGCTGGTGTTGCGGGCAGCGGCCGCAGCATAATACTGCATGGGGTGATGGTGCGGCGGTGGTGGGGGCACAAAGCCAGCCGTGGTGCCATCGTGATAGAGCACAGGCACACGCACCAGACGCTGCGCCGCATGAGCCATGTTGGCCATGTTGGCTGCCTCCAGCTCGGCGGCCAGCTGGCGCTTCCATTTGTTGCGGCGATTTTGAAACCATATCTTCACCTGCGTCTCGGTCAGCCGGAGGGAGGCCGCCAGGCCAGCGCGCTCCGATGAGCTCAGGTAACGCTTCAGATCGAACGTCGACTCCAGCTGGAACACCTGAGCGCGCGAGAAGACCGTGCGCGTTTTCTTCTTACGCTTGGAATTGCTGCCATCGCCGTGCGGCGACGAACTGTCCGATGGGCCGTCGGTGCCGTCATCTTCCTCAATGATTTCCTCGCCTTCGTCGTCCGATTCGTTCGAGCTGGTGGGCAGCATGTAGCCGCCGCTCGCATGAGAGCCCGACAGATGGTGCCCATGATGCGAGAGTCCGCCAGCGCTGCTGGTGGGCGTGCTGGGCTGATGTGGATGCTGTAGATGCTGTTGGCCGGCATGTGGATGCTGTTGCTGTTGCTGGTAGAGCGTATGATGGGAGCTGTGGTGCGACGATCCGGTTAGGCCAGGAGGTGGTGATTTGTTGGCGTGGCCATTGCCCATGTTGTTACTGTTGTTGTTGTTGTTGCTGCTGGCATTCGCACTGAGGTTGTTGTCAATGTTGCTGCTGTTGTTGTTGTTGTTGTTATTGTTGTTGTTGCCGCTGCTGGGACTCAGCGATGTGGGCGATGGTGGATTTTCAGTGGTGTTTGTGGAGGAACTGTCTGCAAAGTGAGCAAGATAAAGAAAAGAGAGAGCGCATGAGTGACAATCCACTTCACTGAGAGAGCACGCCGTGTGCGTGTGTGTGTGTGTGTGTGTGTGTGTATGCACACACTTATACACAGATATTTATATTTATATACATGTGGCGGAGCAGGAGGCGGTGGCTGCTCTAAGGGTTGTTTAACGTATTATTGTAGCCATGTGTGCGTGTGTATGTGTGTGTGTGTGTGCTGCTGCACAGATTTAAGCTGCAACACTTAACCTCACACTTGCCTTCGTCTTGTCTCTTCCTTTCATTTTTGTTTCATATGCCCCACAAACAACTTAGAGCGCAGACGCGTAGAGTAATTGCCTCGCACCCTGCACCCCCACAGCCTGCTTGTCTACCATATACATATAAATGTGTGTGTGTGTAAGTTTATATCTCTGTGTGCTCGTGTGCGTTAAATTACCATTTAAAATGGCCGTCAGTCAGCTGGGCGATTTCAGTTTTATTGAGCTTTTAGTTTGGATCCTATTTGAAAAGTTTAAATTGCTGTAATTTGATTCAGGCGAATTTGACTTGCTGAGACTCCCCCTCCGCCTCCCTGCTGCTGCTGCAAAACTATGCGCTGAATCAACTGAATTCCAGAAGCCTCACATGGCGCAAAACTTAAGGCCAGTTAACATGAGCAAATGCAATTGCATCGACTTCTAATGCTAAGAGCCCAATCAATTGGGCTTTAACGCTCGCTGACCAGAAAGCTAGCCGCTATCGCCAGTAGCTCTACCCCCCTCGGTCTCTCTCTCTCTCTCTCTCTTATTGACAAATGCAAGCATGTCAAGCGCTTTGTGTATTCCCCGCAGTTGTAACTCAATACTCGATTACAAATTGCAATTAATTGAAAATGGCGATTACTGCAGTCGTGTTTCTGAATAGCCAACGCAACACAACGTAACATGTGTAGCTGCGTGCCAATGACACAGCCACCCACACTATTCAAGCGTCTCGGCATTGTTGTTGTTGCTGTTGCTGTTGTTGCTGTTGCCTGCTTCAGGGTGCACTTTGTGTGCATTGCTCAAATTCTTGCGGGCATTAGACAAGTTTACGCGGCCAACTATGCAAATTAAACGAAATGCTACTAAGAATGTCTGCCACGGCACATTCTTTGCCAAAGCACTTCAGCTATTCGCATTAAGCTCGTTCTCTGTCTACAATTTATATACATATGTACATATACAAGATGTACCTACATACATACATTCGTAATCTGTTTACTTTCTAAAGAAGATTTTGTATTTAAAAAGATTAAAGCTAGATTTTATAATATAAATATTTATAATTGCACAAAAAAAATGCAAGTTTAATCTTCTTAAATGGAAAATCTGTCTTAAATGCAAACAGATTGAAATCTATAAATCTATAAATTTCTGCTGGTTTATATACTAAATATATAGCGAATAGTTAACTTACCGTGCGTTGGACTATGGAAGGGCATTCGCTGTGGTGCCCAGGGCCAGCCGGGCGGGCATAGCGCTGCATAGCGTCCAGCCAAGGCGCCCCATTGCGAAATGAAACCCAATCTGCAAAAACAACAACGAACAATTAATTTTAATTAATTGCAATTATTACAGGTATTCAACAACTAAATACATATACAATATATACATGTATAAATAATTTATGCCGACGGCATAAATTTGATAAACACGCCAAGAAAAATCAAAGCTGGAAGTGAAAATATCTCCGAGAGAACGACCCCTAAGTGCCAACCAACCCCACACCAGGCAACGGCCATAACTGGCAACAGCTGCTGCAAATTTGACTCCCCAAGAAAACGCACACACACACATATATATATATATGTATACATAAGTATGTATGTGTGGCTGTGTATATAAATGCCGACATCCATGTAACCTTGTTAGGTTGTTGCTTAAAAGCATCTTTATAAATACATTTATTTATTTATGTTCGGCGCGGCAAAGTTTCCAAGACGAAACACTTTTTGGCGTTAACGTTATAATGTGTTCTATATACGAATGTATGTGTGTGGGGGGCTGTCTGATTGGGGGTGGGTTTTTGTGGCGCTGTCGTTGGGTTTATTGTGCTAAATCAAAGTTTTCAAGTCAAATCATTTAGGCAGAAGCTAATGCGAGAGTTAATTGGAAGAAAGCTGCTTTTGTTCTCTTAGGGTAGCACAGTGTGGTTAGCAGGGGAAGTTGAGTGGGGAGTGAGTGGCCGTAAAAGCTTCTCGTGGCCAACCCACACACCGCCCAGCTGCTCAAGCAGTCTAGCCCGGCAATTTGATTGATTTATTGATATGCTCAAAAGTGTTTCAGGTGTTCTTAAGTTTCCCACGCACTCAATGAACTTTGCTGTTAAACAATCCGACCGGGACATAACGTAGCCAGAGTCCACAGTGCACTCCCACCAGTCTAGAATGCCAATGGTGGCCACATCCAACCCAACGGCCGCCCCTTTGTTGCTGTTGTTTTCTGTACTTGTTAAACCCTTTGACCGTTTTGCAGGTGACCCGTATGCAAGCAGCAGACTGTGATTTCTTTTCGACCCCGGGCAGCCCCCAAATGCGGCCCAGCCACCCCCAGGCAGACAATGAGCCGGCCACGTTGTGTGTGACATTAACATTTAGCTGACCTCTTTCACAGCGGCCAAGGTGCAGGTGTGGAAATCAATAGTCGGCCATCTCTTTCGCCTGCTCAACATGTATGTATGTTTCTCTCCCCCTCTGCTCTCTGTCTGTCTGTGGCTCATGCTTTCCCCTATTTCGCATGGGCAAGTAATGTTTTTCAATTAAATTTCGCCTTTCGCCTGCGCCCGCTGGTAAATTATGAGCCGCTCCCTCTTTAAGAGGCGCTTCAAAGGCTTCCCCAACTGGCAAACTCCCCCAACTGCCTGGCCGGGACTGGCCCGGGCTGTTTGGCAAGCTGGCGGCTCAAATCACTTCTAATGGGCTTCATGTTTACAACGTCAATTGAGAGAAAGCCGCTCAAAAGATGACGTCCTAACCACTCCTCAAATTACCGGCCAGCAGCAAGAGCGAGAAACAACAAAAACCAAGCCAAACGAGAAGCAACAAAACAAACGAGTCAAAAGAAATTACCTCAATTACGGCGCTAATTTTGGTCGCTGAAAGCGCTGTCAACGAACGGAAGGGGCCCCAATGAATTGCAAACAGCTTGTAGCTATTTGCTTTACTAATTATCCAAATCAAAGGCGCTGCCCGGACTCGGGTCCGTGCCAGGCATTTGTTTTCCGCCCAGCAATGAAATAAATACAACATTCCATTGCCCGCGGCAGCCGCAGACCGCGTGGCTCCATCTACATTTTCATTGGTGTCACTTTGTGGCGGAAGTGGATGACCATGTTTAAAATTCACCGGAATGGGGCGTGCCCATTCAGCCCCAGGAGCTGTCAGAAGTCACCGTTGAGCGACCCAAGCGCCCCACCATCCCCACCATTCCGCCCACGCCTCCCCTCTCTCCCCATGCGTCCAGTCCAATTCCTCACCCACTTCAATTTGATGCATGGCTGTTATTTCTCGTTTAATGAATTGTTTGCGGTTCTTGCTTTGGGCTTCTTTCACGTCGCTGTCATAATTCGTCTTTGGCGGCAGGGGCTGGGCGGAGCTCTCTGCGAGCTAGGATAAAAACTCTGCTATGCAATTGAGTTGTTCAACATGGCGTTCTACATGGGTTCCATGCGCCTTTTGCTTTTCCTTCGTTCGCTCGCGGGACGGGATTTTAATAAATTGGATATGGCTCGGGCATAAAAGCGCTTTGAAGTATTTCATGCACGCAAACTAATTTAGTTAAGAAAATATGCCAACTCGAAGAGCAATCTTAACCTTTTGTCTGATATTTAGATTAGTCTGAAGAGGTTATATATGTATATGGAAAATCTATTCATATACCTTGGCAAATTAATTTATTATTATTGAGATGCAGTCAGCCTTAAGTTGTTATTATTATAGTTAAAAGAAAAGCAAGCCTAGAAAATATTCTTTTAATCAATCTATAGATTCTTGAATAAATTTGAAATGTGTTTTCCTATATAATATATAAAATGTGCTTAGAGAAATATTTGAAGACATATGCAGTTCAAGTC